TATTAAGTGTGTACGTGTGGGGAATTGTCAGCTATGAAATTCTAGAGATGTGATGATTATAATTACATACCAAATAGATGGATATAGCAAAAGATAAGAAGGAAAATTTCCTCTTGAGTCCAGGTCTGCCACTAGACAGCTGTGTCATCTTGGGTAAATCCCTTAACTTTTTTGTGCTTCAGCTGCCAGGTCTATAAAACAGGGTGTTTGGACTCAACGGTCCCCAATGTCCCTTCCAGTTTTATGATGTGACTAGAATGGACCCACTTAATGAAGAAACTGCATCCCAGTGGGATTAAGACATCAGCCACCGTCTTGTTTTCAGACTTCCCTCATCATACAGCGCTTCATCCATATTACATATTTTTAGAAATCAGTTTTGAGATGAGTAACAGATGAGAAAAAATAGAATTCCTTGATTCTTCTCAAATAAATTGCTGCATTTTGAAGGAGATTTAGCCATATGGTCTGTAAGTACTTTACTATGGAGTAACATAAAACATTAGGAAACTCTATCCCAAAATGCCCCAGAACGATTGCAACTCAAGATACCGTTGTTTGAGGACTATTTAAAGCACCGTTCTGGGTTTATTCACACGAAACAACGGGAAGAGGTGGACGTCCAATAAGCTGATTTATTCACTTATACTTGAGTCTTTTAAGAAAAGGTCCTCTAGGTGGTCACAAAGCACCTAGCTGATCTCCCTGTGCTATGCGGCTGCTTCACTTTGTTATAAAGCAGAAACTAACACACCATTGTAAAGCAATTATACTCCAATAAAGATGTTAAAGAAAAAAAAAAAGCGGTCCTTTACCAAGTTCCTGAACCCCTGGTTTTGTATCCCAATCGGTGTTATAATGGTCAGAACACATTTATGTTTGTGTACTTACAAGACCATTTGATTCCTAGGGGATCTGAGAAGCAGGGTGACAGACATGAGCTTTCAGGTGATAAACAAAAGCCTCCTAGTCATGCCAGACTCCCTCTGAAATTGCCCTCATCTGTTCAGAACTTTCTAGAAGGATGGTGACTTCTTAGTTCAGAACACTTCCTTTCATCAGGCAGAGCAGTCAAGAGGCGAAGAGAAACTGGTCAGGGGCAGCAGCACCGCTCACCTTCACTCATCCCACCCGTGCAGCATCAACAGGCCAAATGGCCTTTGTGGTCCCTGAGGTACTGGGGCGCGGGTGGTGGGTGGGTAGTTTCACTGCTCTGAGGATTCATACAACTTTGCAGACAGTGCTGTCTGATCTTTTCAGAAAATATTCCATTTTCAATTGTCCAGGAAGAATTTTTAAGTAGCAGAGAGAGCCCACATCTAGATTACCTAAACATTAGAGGAGAGCTTGCGTTTTACTTAAATATGCAAATGAGGCATCTATCCAGCACGTAATTACATCCTCAAGGCAGAGTCCAGAATCTTGTAGTTTTGCTCAAAGGAAACACAAAACATTAGACATACAGTTCCGCAGCGAAATGCACGGCGCAGATCGCAAATGCTGCTATTAAACCACGGAATACAAGTCACTGGTGAGTGTGAGCTTTATTAGTACTTTTGATTTCCTCTTTCTTTGCATTTATACCAGGCTGCTTTTAATAAAATGAAGACACTGGTCATTCCTTTGTTTACTTCTTTTGGAGGAACTGGAGAGTGAGTTGAAGAGGGAGGCTGTGGTCCCATTTTGATGAGCGCAGAGGACACAGGCGGAGAGGCACGTGAATACAAGGAAGTAAAGCTGCTTGAACACACGTAGAAGCAGCTCAGAGACATGCGAGTGCTGTCCTTTCAAATCAGTCACCTGACAATACTCTGAACTTATATCTGAGTCTTTTAAAAAACGGTCTTCACTGCAGGTTACGAACAACTACCAGATTTTTTCCCTCTCTTCTGTGGAATGGTCAATGACCCCCGGAGGTCAGATCAGAATTTTGGAGATGTTATCATCTTGACAGAGTTCCCTCAGATATTCTGATAATCTAACTGGCTGTCTTGTCTTCGGACACCTTGAGAATCACTTACGAAATATGTTTGATATGGGCTTTTTATGGTGGGTGGCCACACTTTATGTTTGGTATTGTCATGCCCAACTTGGTCAACTACCCGATTCATCAGATTTGACCCAAATGACTTTCTGCTATTCCTCCCAATCAATTCCCCTGAAATACTGAAGATCTGTCAACCAGGAGGGAGCACCACAGCTTTGAAGGTGAATCCAACAGTGCAAATGGACATGGCTGCAACCCTGGCAAAAACATACTGGATCCTGGAGCGACCACTCTGAGAAGCCTTGCTGGGAATCCGTTGCAGCAGGCCCACTAGAAGTGATTTTGCAGTAACACCTTGACCACAGGAGGTACAGCCTGGGCACCTAGAAGACACCCGTGAGTATGGGGGTCCAGCAGAAGGGTATCGGTGGAGACCAGATCTACGAGGGTTGCTGCTGTTACTGTGAGATCTACAGATGGACACAGTACACTAGAACAACCATCGCAAAAGGAACCAGAACTCCGAAAGAACATCCTTTCTACTCCTCCAGCATGGTGACTGGTGCCCTGGGACCTATTACTTGTCCCAACCACTCCTCTCCCAACCAGCTCCTTCGTGCCTCTTAGGGCGTGTGTGTGGCCCTTGAGTGGTGATGGATTAAATCCTGGAAGGTCAGAGTCTCAGGGTTAGGAAAGTTATCCTAAGAAGCCCTCGGGACCTGGGATAGGCTGGCAGGCTCCAGCCCCTTTGTATAATTTTAGTATATTGTTTGACAATTTCCAAATGAAAGGCACAATCTTTCTTAACCACAAGCTCTAAGGTTCGTGGCAGGAGGCCTGCTGTCCAACAATTCTTCAGGTCAGAGTTGGAATTCTCCCGGGTTGCACAGGTGAGCCCACCCTTAGGCTGTGAATCTGTGTATTTGCAAAAGATGTGTGATTTTCTACTGAAAAAGAAGCATGCGTGAGGATAGGCACAGATAAGTACAGTGGAGACTCTAACACCAGACCGTAAAAAACAGAACACATACCCTAGTGCAGGTAAGAAATATAAATGATTTTACTGCTCAGCATTTGCATATGGAGACGCAGTGCACACAATACTACGTGGCATTTTTCTTCAATTGATGCAACTCAGTAATTTTTATTGCAACTGGAAGACAATACATCACAGAAACTTTATGGTAGGTCTGGGGAAAAGTGTTATTTACAATAAATGATGAAATAGTTTGTCTTTGGCAATATGATTACATATGAAGAATGCGAAATGCAAGTATGGATGCCTCCAAAGCAACACCATCAGGTCCCTAAACTTCGGCGGGTTGTGCCTGCTTCCACACTGCTCCTCCAGGTAACACAAACGCAACTGAACATCACTGTCTCCTCTATGGTTCTCCCTTTCTATTCGTGATATTGGCAGTTTCATACAGAAAAAATACCGGAAAAAATTGGCTTTTGAAACCTTATTACTCTAGTAAATGAATTTGGCCATCGAGGTCTTATTGGCCAGAGGTCACATGACCCTAAGTATTGGGAGTAAACCTCTTGTCTTCTGATTGCTTTATCACTGTTATTTATTTATTTTTCTGTAAAACAAAAGCAGAACTCAGAAATGTTACAGAATCAGAGCATAAAAAAATGTACAAGTGTATAACGCTTCCCAGACACACACGGATGCTTGTTTCGTCCACATTGTTACCACGGCAGTACAAGTAGTGAGTGTGAATGACAGCAGGGAGCTGGCTACTGAATCAGCTGTGAGCGCCGATGTCCCAACATACATACCCAAGAAGTGCTGAATGTTTAAATAACTGAAATTGTGCTAAGAGTTTCATCTAAAAAAAAAAGGGAGGGGTTGGGAACTCAGGCCACAGTCATGAAAGGATGAAAGACAATTTCTAGGTTTCATAGATTCACCATATCGAAGTCTTTGAGAATCCAATATGGAATATTAACTCTTTGCAAAAAGTAGGGAAGGCTATTCTCAACTTTTGCAAATGAAATACAGTGGACAACACTGTTGCATCTATTCCAAATAAATAGTCTTGATTTCAACACTAACAAAACGAACAGGAAGGGTACTTGTGAGCATGATCACAGTAAGTCAGAAGTGATCTTTCACCCAAGTCTGATTTCAAAAGTAGGACAGACAGCAAAATGCAGCACCATAGACACATTGGTTTCGGCTGTTAAAAGATGGATCATTTTAAAAATCGGATTTTCCTTCCTTAATTTTTGGTCAGTGAAGCTAGCACTTGTTTGCTGAACTGTGGAAGAATTGCAAGGTCACACGCTATATTCATGATAAAGCAACGGAGCAGATGAGTCTGTGCTTAATTCAAGAATAACCAGTAGGGGAGAGAGAGAGAGAGAACAGGAGTTGACCACCATCACCGGCTCTCTCTCAAAGGAAGAGGGGGTGACAGATGAATTCACAAAGGCAGGCGGGACTATACAGAACACTGAATGCCATGTGTAAATCCTCATGGGATTCCAGAAGGGGGAACACCACACAACGTATATACTTTGATTTACACATTCCGTTACAAAGAAAAGAAAAAAACAAGACACGATTACAACTTTGTAACTGTGTTAACTGCGATATAAACCAAAGTCCCGGAGTTTTGGCAGGTAACTAAAAAGAGGGTTATCACTTAGGTTATATAGCAAAAGTGTTGATGTATATTATATATAGTAGTATAAATAATAAAAAAGTATTATTTAAATTAGATCACAGTGCTGCATTATGTGCATAACAGTGTTTGATATAGTATTCGAGCTGGGACCTACGACACAAAGGATTTAACTGTCAACACTGGTTAAGTCACAATCAAGAGGGGACACGGAGTTCAAATGTGTTCTTTTGGTGGCAAAAAAAAAAAAAAAAAAAAAAAAAAAAACC